TGGTGGTGGAAGTGGAGCAGCTTCCAACACAGACAGGCCCTCAGCTGACAGCCAAGCTGACCCCGCCTGCTTAGAAGACATGGCCTGTCAGGGGCCCAGAACCATCAGACATCACGAGGGAAAGAGCAGTACCATCAACATAAATAATTTCCTTTAATAGGTTTTCCTGGGAACTTGACATGGGAAGGATCTGTCTACCTCAGGGAGCCAACACGAAAACATTCCCACCTTTGGTTTTGTACAGGGAATCCGGGAACTCATGCCCCTGTAAATAACTCTATAAATCATTGGGATTCATGCATCCATCCATCCGTTCTTCATTTCTTTCTTCTGTCCCTTTCTGCTCTGCTTGAGTTTCATATATCCAAAGATGGTCTCAAACTCACTATATAGCTGAGAATGACCTTGAACTTCCAAGGATTACAGACGAATGCCACCATCCCCAGTTTTTTAATGCAATGCTAGAATTCTAACCCAGGGATCTGTGCAGGTTAGGTAAACACTCTACTGACTAAGCTACATCCACCAATCTCCTGGCTTTAATCTGTCATTATCCTCTCTTAATCTTCCATTTAACACATGTGATCAACTTGGAGTTTTCTCCATAGGCCCTTCTTTTACCCCTTACTACCTACCCAGAGCTGGCTCTGCCTACTGTCATGGCACACAGGGCTCCACAAACTATTGCTTCAATGTTCAATTCTGTTGGTTTGGTGCTGTATGACAAGGTCACAGGACCTCCCTCTGGGCCCTGAACCCCTCACTTACAACTAGACAGTCATTAAGATCCTTCCCACTGTTGTGAAACTCCAGAGGAGTGCCAAGAAGAAATGCCTGATTTGTGGTAGAGTGCTTTGCTACCACTCAGAGTGGCCTCAGATGCAAGGCTCAGCACCACAGCTACCTCACCTGCCAACCCTGCTTGGCTTTCAACCCCACAGGGTTCAACCACGTTGGACTCATTCTCCAGTCTGCCCAGCACCATTGGGACGATCCTTTAAAGATGGCTGGTTCTTACTGAAGGGCTGATCTGATATTCCAAAGAGACTAAAAACCATTTAAAGCCAATCCCAGTGAATTAGGCAAGTAATAGAACTGGCTAATAAAATTTTTTGGTCAATAGTGAGGTGGAATGGAGTGGTTTAGTTTGGTTTATTATTTTTTTTCCACATGGCCCACACAAATGGATTTGGAGGCTGTTCCAAACAAGATGCCACAAGGTACTTGAGCAGCATGGCAGCTCTGCCGGGTCAGGCTGGAGCTTTCCATTGGAATGTCTTTGGAGTCCTTGATTGTTTGCTGAGAAAACATGGCCATTATTTCATAATCACATCTTGCCTAAACATCAGCTTTCTCTCCAGGCTTTGAAACTGCAGTATATAAACAGTGCTCCCTCAATTTATTTTGAGAAAATGACCATACTCAACAGGCAAGCGCCTATAAAGACAGAATACATGTATGTGGAGTTTGGATGTTTTTATTAAGTCAAGCTTACAGCAAAGTTCATCGGATGCATATTTAATCACCTGCAAAGTTGTTGCTGTGTGGCTGTGTGGTAATAAAGCATAAACGTTCTCTCCTAATTTTGGCACAACTGATTTATGCACTTTAGACATTGGCCAGGAAGAGAAAGAGGAATGGAAGGAGGGTTGGCTCTCCAGCCTTCTCTTTGGACGCTCCAACCCAGCAGGTCTCCTCCTGGCTCCTGATGCTGCCTTCCACTCCAGCTACAATAATCTTCTAATACCAAGCCGCGGACCAGGGCCCTGTTGCCAGTTCTGTCTTCTGGAAGAAGAAAAATGAGTTTGGGTTTGGGAAAGGGCTTCTGGGGCCCAGGGGGTGGCCGGCTCCTGCTTTGCAGACTAGCCAATCCACATGGCCAAGTTCCGCCCGCTAATTAACCTCTGGGTACAGTCTGTGATGAGATTCAACAGCAGGGCTCAGTGGGGCACAGTGGGTAAAATGGGTGCACGGTAGGTGTAAAATAAGTCTTATTTTACCAAAATTTGGTCCCTTCTCTCCTCTGTTCAGAAGTCCAAGGGCACTAGAGGGGGGCAGGACTAGCATGTCACTTTGCCATCTGAGGGCATGAACGGTTCCCTCCACAGAGAGTATGTCCATGGAGAGGACCAGCTGCATTGTCCTACATTAAACTCAACCCTGGAGGCCCTTCTCATCCCCTCCGTCAGAGTGATAATTCTTACCTGTGTGGTGGTGGTTTCATAAGGACAGGGGAAAGGTGAAATGCATCCAGAAACAACAAGGGAACATGGCGTCCTTGCTAAGTCCCCAGTGGTCACATGGGACCTAGAATAGAAATGACAGGGCAAGGGGGTCCTGGGCATGCAGCAGATTGAGGTGCTGAGGGTGGGTGAAGAAGAAAGGAACCTGCTGAGAGGTGAAGCCATCTGCTGTTTTATTTTTATTAGGGTGGCAGGTAGGTGTGTGGGGTGCCCTCCAGCTTTCGGCATGACCAAAGGCCCTGGGAACTGGCCTGGACAGCTGTTCACTTGACTGACTTTATTCAAGTGAGCAGTCTAGTCCTCATGGGAAGAGGACAGAGTAGAGAAACATTCAAGTGAATTGCTTTTTCTTAGTATGTGTGTGTGGTGTGCATGCAGGTCTACCCAGGTGTGGTGTGTATACATGCGTGTGGAAGCATGTGTGTGTGTGCGTGTATACACAGGCTTGAGGTTGATGCTGGCTGCCTTTTCTATCACTCCCCACCTTGTGTACTGAGTCAGGGTCTCTCACTGAACCCAGAGCTCCCCAACTCTGCTAGTCTGGCTGGCCACCTTACCCTAAGGCTTCTGTCTCCACCTCCCATGAACTGGGATTGCAGGCAGCCGCCATGACCACTTTGCTTTTTGCATGGGTTCTGGGGATCCCAACTCCTGTCCTCATCTTACACCTCAGCGCTTTACCCACTGAGCCATCTCTCCAGCCTCGGGTTAGTGGCTTATTGACCAGAGAAATTCTTTCTCTGGAGACAGACAGAAAGAAAGGAAGAAAGAAGGAAGGAAGGAAGGAAGGAAGGAAGGAAGGAAGAAAGGAAGGAAGGAAGGAAGAAGAGACAAACAGCAACAGACAGAAAACACAGGCTGCCAGCGCACAGCCCTCCCCCTCCCTCTCAGAGGCATTTTACAGGCCTAAAGACAACCGTGACTCATTCATTAATTTGAAGAGAAAACGGGATAAAAACAACCGAACAGTCCAGACGCAAGCATTCTTCTAATGCCTTCCATTCCCCGAACACACATTTTACACCAGATTCTTCTGGCTTCCCAGAATGTCTTAATTTTATGCTTTCATGAGTGATTATAGGGAGGAATGCTGAGCCCTACCATGGAGGCATCAAGCATCAGAGTGACGGTAGCATTGAGGCACAGACAGGCAAATGCCATCCCAGGTCCCCAGTGAACCTGGGCCCTCACCTGGTGAGCCCCAGCATCAAGAGGTTTGTCCCTGCTCTGCCTTCCTACAGTCTCCTCTTCCCGAATGTCCCCTTTTCTTGCCTATTCCCTCCCTTTTAATATTCCTCCCCTTGTACATTCTTCTCTCCCTCTGGGTTTCCCTTAAGGAGATGGTGAACTTAGGTCACAAGAACACAGCTCCTTCCCTTGTCCCACAAAACTCCACAAAGTACGCAAGCTGACCAGCCTGTGGCCTATCCCTGTGCAACATGAAGCAGGCAGGCTTACCTGACTTTATACACAGCATAACCCACTTAAAACAAAACAAAACAAAAACCAAAAAAAACAGCCCGGTTGGGATGTTGAGTGTCAGGGGTGGGGGGCTCTGCATTTGTTCTTCCATTTTTAAAGCACAGTCTCCTCCCACCCCAGACCCCTCTGCACCTCGCCTCCCCAAAATGCCTGCTTCTCCTTAGGGGAAGTTTTCCATATCTGACATCTTTGATAAGCTAGTTTGGGATCCGTGCCAGCCAAGTGGAGGCTGCATAGAGACACCTGAGACAGTGACATCCTCACACCTGAGGAAAGCCAGAAAACTTAGCTGCATAGCTTCCCTCTGTCCCTGTCCTGCTGAGCCACCCCCTGCTCCTTCAAACACTAAAATCAATTTTTAAAACCTCAGTACCCAAAACAGGTGGTAGAAGCAGACAAGAGGAGGGAACATCTCGGGAGAGTTCAGGTGGAGAGTTCAAATAAATTTCACTAGCCTATATTAATTATGCAAAATAAAGGGTTTGTTATGACAGTCTCATATCTGTATATAATATACTCTGATCAAATCAGATCGAAGTTGTTTTTAGGTTTCTATTTCTGTTTTTGTTGGGAGACATCGTCTGATGTTAGCTCTAGCTTCAACTCACTGTAACTTTGAAATCCTGATCTTCCAGCCTCTGCCTCCTAAGGGCTGGAATTACATATATGCCAGTGTGCTTGGTTTATACAATACTACGGATCAAATCTGGGACTTTGTGTATGTTGGGCCACCACTCTACAGACTTTCCACATCCTTAGCCCGGGTGGGGGTTTCTGAGACCAAGGACCAGGGCTTGTCCCCTGGCACTCTTCTCTAGTCTTCTCCAAGCTCTGCTGAGACATCCTGATGTAATCACCTGTGGAAATGACAGGGGTCAATGCTAATTATTAACAGGTTGCACCAGAGAGAGAAAGGCCCTTTTCCTCCACTCAGGAGGCCACTGAAGTTGGCATAACTGCTCTGTCTGGAAATCCAAGCCATCTTCCACAGCCTGCATACGGGCCATTCTCAGCCACCCCTGATAAACAAACAAACAGGTGGTGGAGAGAAACAGTTTTAATGGAGCAGCAGAAATCAGTGGGGTACAGAAAACAAGCCGGGCAAGCATGGGTTCATGAACAGACAAAACTATTGAGTAAGAAGCATAGAGGGAGCAGATAGATGGCTTCATGGTTAAGGGCACTTGCTGCATTCTAGAGGACCTGAGTTCAGTTCCCAGCACCTACACTGGGTACCTCCCAACTGCCTATAATCCCCTCCTTCACACATGTGCAATACAGACAGACAGACAGACAGACAGACAGACAGACAGACAGACATGAAACAAAAATAAACCCTTTATAGAACTAAACAGAACAAGCAAGCTGTACTAGTCTCAAGAGGATGTCATAGATACTCGGCCCACACGTGTGCATGCACACATACACACAGTGCCCCCCCCAGCCCGTACCATTGCAATGATGAGCTTTGTGCTTTGACTGAGTACATGTACGTATCCATATTTCCTCTAGGTGGGAATTGCTAGGAGAAATAGGAACGTGAATTGCAGTTTCTTTTCCACCTTCATTTTCAGAGAAGAGTCCTGTCACTGCGAATGGCCCTCTGATCCAGGAGCCGTGTTCTCCATCGCTCTCCCAAAGGGCGCTGTGAATGGGGTCGGGCACCTGGGCTACTCTCTGAGCTCCCTGGCTCCTGGCCCCACATCCTGCTTTGTGGTAGATGGAAGGTAAGCCCTGCTAATCTGGGGAGCTCTTTCTTCACCCACTGCCTGATGTTGGGGAATTCCATGCAGATACAAACTTCCATTCCTTCGTAATTGGACCCTCTCTGCCTTCTTCCAGCCCAGCCTGGCCCATTGCCTACATGAATGCTTTGAAGTGGGCATCACACTAGGAAGTTTCTCTGAGAAATAAGTAGAGAAGCCCCCAGGAATGGCAGTCTGCCTGACAGCCACACTGAGCCAACCAAGCCAGGTCCCTCAATGTTCTAGGGTAGTCACAGCCTCTAGACAGGGCAATCTATGGTAGAGATTCTCCTATCTAGTACTAAAAAGTTTATGTGTGTGGTTTTAGGACAAGCATGCAGACTGAACCTGGGGACTCTACTGTCTTGAACTTGGTGGCTACATGGGAGGAGGGGTCCTAGCTGATGCTCTCTCTGGCTAAGTGTGCCCCTTTTCTTTGGCTCCAGACACATGCTCCAAAGTCAAGGGTTTACACATAGACATATCTGTTTGCAGACAATTTGTCTGAGCCCTTATTATCCTGTAATTGGGTTAAATACTGCTGTGTAGGCAGCAGCATACCAAGGCCATTGCCGAATCCCTACGAGACCTGGCCCCCTCCCTCCTTCCTCCAGCAGGCCTGTTGGAAGAAAAAGGTAGAAACATAAATTAAAACAGGACGAATATATTCCTTTCTTGGAATGAGCTATTTAAAGAACAAGCCAGATGTGCAAATAGACATTTTCCCCTCACTCACTACATTTTTAAAAGAGTGTGTATTTATGTGTGTAAGAGAGGAGAGAGAGAGAGAGAAAGAGAGAGAGAGAGAGAGATCATAGTTGTCCTTTCTTTAACAAAAATTTTATAGTCTGAGGGTCTGGTTAATTTTGGTTCTATTTTTTTTTTTTTGCTATTTTCAGTAATAAAATTTAAAGTTTTTAAATGTTTAGATTTTTTGTTGTTTTTAAACAATTATGCCCAGCCAGACAGTAGTGGCACATGCCTTTTATCTCAGCACTCCAGAGGCAGAGACAAGTGGATCTGTGTGAGTTCAAGTCCAGCCTGGTCTACAGAGTGAGTTCCAGGACAGGCTCCAAAAACTACAGAGAAATCCTGTCTCGTAATTCCCTGCCCCCCCCCCAATTGTGCACATGCATTTGTATCTGTGGATGGCTATGTGCACATAAGTGCAGGTGTTCAAAAAGACAGGGCAGTGGGTGCTCTGGATCCGGAGGTACAGCTTCCTGGCGTGGATACAGGGAACTGAACTTGAGTCCTCTGTAAGAGCAATACACAATTTATCACAGAGTAGCCCCTCCAGACCCCACTCTTCCTTGTCCACCATCACACTTGTCCATAAGAGCCACTGGCTAGGAGGTCTGCTGTCATCAAGTTATGTTCAACAAAGATCCCATTGACAGTGGCAGCAGGATGTAGGTCTAAGCTACCCACTGAGGCCACGCACACTGTCATATCTCAAAGCCTTTTCATCCTGCCTTTGGTCTTCAGGTTAGGTACAGCCTTTATAGACACACACACAGAGAGAGAGAGAGAGAGAGAGAGAGAGAGAGAGAGAGAGAGAGAGAGAGAGCACGCACACACACACACAGAGAGAGAGAGAGCGCACACACACACAGAGAGAGAGAGAGAGAGCACACACACACACACACACAGAGAGAGCGCACACGCACACACAGAGAGAGAGAGAGCGCACACACACACACACACACACAGAGCACACACAGAGAGAGAGAGAGAGAGAACGCGCGCGCGCGCGCGTGCACACACACACACACACACACACACACACACACACACACACACACACATACACACACGCCCCAGCTAGAGAACACATTATTTGATCTTTCTCTTGTTTCTTGTGGTGCTGAGGATAGAGCCTGGGTCCTCTCTTACACACATAAATAGGTAAGCACACCACTACTGAGCCATACCCCAGCCATTTTAACTGCTTTATGGAAGTCTTCCTAAAACATATGAGGCTTTCGCACCCTAAAAAAAGAAGCACTTGGCAGACTGTATGGAATAAACCGTAAGGCACCCTGGGTACACGGAGCAGGCTCTGCATGTGGAACAGGCTTGGCACCAGAGCCACGGGGCGTCTGAGGCCTCAGTGGTGCTGGGGGTTCTCAGCTCACAAGACCCTCTGGGGTGCAGGAGAAGCCTGTGGCCCCTTTCCCTTCCTGTTACCTGCACTACCTCAAGCTTCTTGGAGTCTCTGCCAGCTTCTAAACAAGTCTCGCTTTCCTCCCCTCAGTGCCCCTCCCTCCTGTCACTTTTGGCCATAATAACCTTTCCCAAATGCAAACCTGATTATGTCTGTCTCCCGCTCAGTCTTCAGGGTTTCCTGTAGCTCAGGGACTGGGTGTTGAGGGCTTGGTTTGTGGCTCAGAGCATTCTCTCCTGATCCTGTCCCAGCTCCCCTACCACCTGTATTCCCTGCCCACCACTCCCCAGGCCATGCCCTGGCAGGTCAGAACAGCCATGTCCTCTGTCCCCATTCTACTTGGCTCATTTCAGTTCCTCTTGGGCTCCATCCAGCTGTGGGCTCCTCCTGGAAGCTTTCCCAGACTGCATTAGCTCCACCTGCCCTGTGTGCCCTCTTTCATGGAAGTCATG